CATCATCATTTCTATTCTGAAGGCATGTATTGGTGATTATAACTCGGAGGAATTCTTTGGTATTTTCAGTCACACAATTCTATTCTTTGGATTTAGATCTTTTCATAATTTTTATAATATGATAGAAAGTGATGGCTTTTGATTTTTCTATCACTGTAGATTTTGTAACCTTCAAACGTGCTCCGAAATGATTTAAAGGGCCCGGCGTGGGAAGTGGTGGGGGGAGTACCTCTCGGTAAGATAGACCCGATAAACATTATTCATTATCAGTTAAAAAAATGAATGGATGAATTTGATGTTGGGCCACCTTTGACCACCACAGGATTCTACATATAAATTCATATGTTGAATTTTTCAAAAAGATGCATCCCTCCCGCTGGCTGCAGGTGAAATTTTTGATTATTTATAATTAATTGGTTTTTACCACCAAAAAGCTAAAAGTGGACTACCTTTGACCACCTTCGAATCACCAAGCGAGTGCAATAATCCAAATTTGCATTCCCCCCTACCCCCTGCTAGGTGTAACTAGCTAGCGGCGAGTTTCAAAACTTTTCTTGGCCGACACGCTACCGCGTATCTCGATTCTCATCAAGGGACGCGTTGCGTGCCGTCGTCAAGAACGAGTATGCTTCTGCCATATTATACGCGAGTCAACTTTCCTCTTCACCACCCAAATATGTTTATTCATTTTTTTTCCTTGTTTATCTCATCTCAGGACATTTTAAATTGCCTAAATAGTTTCATCTATCATTCGAGGCTCTATTGCAATTTCTTCAAATTTTATAAACAATAGTTAATTAAGAAAATAATTTTTTCATGAATCAGGTGCTAGGATTTTCGTCGATCCATTTCTCTAAGCCCTCTAAGCGGAGATTATAGTGGGAAAATTGGTATTATAGGTAAGATTCGGGGGGGGNGTTAGAATCAAATGACCTGTGCATAAAAAGATCATGAGGGTCAGACGGGATCGTATGAGTGAGCTCGAATAAAAAATTTGGGTTTCACTTTTATCGATCATTTTTAATTATTTCTGAAATCACCTGATTCCTTCATGTATTCTACTGATTTCCGATGATTTTTAGAAGTCATTTCAGAAATCACTACCGGAAATGGAAATTACTTGATTTCCTAAGTGACTCCCAAATAAATGGTTTTTTGAGACAATGTCAAGAGACCTTCTTTCTTGTCGCAAAACTTTCTAATCTATAAAATAATTCCCTCTTACTGTTTCTAAAAAACCCAACAAAATCTCAACAGTTTCATAGAGAATTTATTTATTGACGATAAGAGTCGAAAAGAACATCATAATCGAAGAAGCAATTTAGTTTTTTCCTATCAAACAACAAACTGTTGATATTTTCACAATAAAATAATAGTTCATTGAATTCATCTCTTAAGTGTTAAATTGAAAAATATTTACCTTCAATCTCTTCTCCAATTCATGTTCCTCCAGATCACTCGTCACTGGTTTGCATCCAGTAGGGAATTGCACTCGCAACATAATTTTTTCACTTTAGAGTGGAATAGTTTGATCAATTATTGAAGGATGTATTGACTTCAAAAATAGTATTCTCATACCACCACGCGACTACCACGAGCTATACCACACAACAAATCTCTTAATTGTTGAAATTCGCAAAAAATTGAGAAAACATGGAGCACGTGTGAACCGGCGGGCGTCACAGCTTAGAGTCGAACCCAAACAATGAATCTCAACAAAACAACAAAACAACTCCCTTCCCCCCTCCTTCGCACAGCGCCATATTTATTCTCTCAGAGGAGCAAAGAATGAAAACAAAGGTTCATATACTTTGTAAACTCCCAAGGAAATTGGTGAAAAGGAAAATTTTATGAAGATCTAAGCAATTGGAAGAGAAATGTTGTGAGGTCTTTCTTGTAAAAGTAAGACAATTTGTAAGCAAAAATGTGTCCTAATTTTATAAGTGCTCATTATCTATACATATTTATTTCTCCAATAATAAAGATAATGATCATGGATAAAAAAGAAAGAATCTCAAGAATGGTCGATGGTTCAGATTATTATCTGAGCAATGAACGATATTTTAAAAAATCGGAAAGTAATACAGAAGTTTACCGGTTAATTGATGGCTGATGGGAGCCGAAGAAATTTCCCCTAAAAAGGTCTCTTGACATTTAGTTATTAAAATGGCACATCCACCAATGTTATCTCAATAAACGTGGATATCTTTCTCAATGAATCCATTATCGCAAAAATGAATAATATTATGAAAAAATGTCAGAGAATTTGGAAGATGACGCCTTTTTATCACAAATTCTCTGCTCATGAAAATAATTAAATAGGGTAAACAGGTCAACTTCTAGACAGGGGTTAGCTTCTGGATGATTTCAACTTGCATTGAATATTCCATAAATAAAATTAAAATTGTACTGATTATTTTACCTTTCAATAATATTACTCGTGTATAATCATGTGATTAATTATTTTTCCTATTGATCGACATTTAAGAAATAAAAAAAAAAGGTCCAGTCGTCCATAAATTAGGGGTTTCGACTGCATTCAATTATTTCTTATTTAATTATACTTTGTTTTGTTATTTTCACTTCAAATAATTTTTTTCTGCTAATTAAAACATTCTTGAAGGTATGGAAGCCATCATATTCCATCATTCAGGTGATTCTTTTACTTTAGATCCTACCACGAAACTCGAATTTCTCTTGACCATAGAAAAGTGTCCGAAAATCTGGCGACTCCCAGGATGAAATAGTGTATTTCGGTACGAGTGTGGAAAAATGTTATTGGCTCGTGGGAGATCTACATATAGCACGTGCCGAAGGCGAGTGATATAATTCCACAGGCCAAAAAACACTTTGTCCATGAGTATCGAACGATATTTTTCATCACAATGAAAAGGTCTATTGGCCTGTTCACCCTAGTTATTATCTCGTCCAAAGTAATGTTTCCACAGAAGATTAAAAAAACTACTGGGGATTTTGGATAAAACTGAAACAGATGACAGCAGGAGAACACCGAAGTGCTCTCTATCCTTATATGATCCATTGAAAATTGCTTCATGGCGTCATTAGGTCGTGAATTGGCCGCAAAACTTTCTAATTTCCCAAAAATAAGGACACTACCTAGAAAATAACGGAAACCAACCATCCATAATTAAATTTTTTCGTTTTGCTTTTTTTTCCATATTTTTTTAATAACACATTTTTTTCATTTTTCCGATAAGTCTATGGTAATTAATTCATAACAAGAAAGAAAAAAAAGAATGATTCTTCATTGATATTCTCTAGAATAATTATTAAAAGGTACAATTAGCAAATAATTATATCGTGCATTCGCTCTTGTGAAATAATCGTAGTAATATAATCAGTAATTTATGTATACATTTATCATATGTATATATACATATAGGTATATTCTTCAATTTATTCATTATGTTCATAATTATAGAGCAATCTTTTGTGTTGTTCCTTCATTAACCGACGTACCTGATCTTTGCATCTACAAATATAGTACGTTCTCTAGTTTATCTGTCAACTTATCGTCTCTCATGTTATCCACACTTTATTCAATTATATCGATTTATTTGAATCTTCGTCATCATTTATTCTCAAAATTATCGAAAGTCTCAAAATTATCGAAAATTTGTTTTTCGATTTATGGTAATTCCGAAACTTATTTACCCACATATAAATTTCTTTATTCACATATAAAACAATTGTATAATTTTAAATATAATTGTCGTATATGTGTGCCTACACAATAAAGGGGCTGAAGACATTGTTGCGCATGAATAAATGAAGTCAGAATGAAATTCTGCATTGGAGTGACAAGTAGTCTATCCCTGTTCATGCAATTATCTAAAAAACTAGCAGCCTATAGAGAAAATGTCGTAAAACATTTTTTATGAAAAATTTTATTAGCTACAAAAAAGGCCTTATGACATTTTTCCGTATAATCGCTATTTATTGACACACTTGCATAAATAGAAAAACCATTACGATGGACTGTCGAAGTCAACATATTTTTCGTTATGTATATGCAATTATGCAGAAGAGGTCTAAAAATAATTCTCCTAAAACATCTCATTTCTCAGATAATCTACTCAAAACATTATTCATGAATGTGGTTTCTGAAAACGTACCTAACTATCTTGGTAATTAACGATTTGGAGAAAAAATATTGGGAGAAAATTTTTCGTGAAATTGTTTGCACTCGAGACGAAATGCATAATTAAGAATTGTTATCACTTCAAAACGGAATTCGATGACTTTTAATTGTTTGTAAGAAAGATAGGGCTTTGTAAGACACTTTCAATCAACTTTAATTTTTTTTTCATAATTTTAAATCCTTTATTCATGCACTCAAAGTATATCCATCTACTTCTTTGCTTTTATTCCACACATATTTATAAGAGAATACACAAAAATGCATTGTTACCGAAATTGCGGTGAAATCGGTTTCATCTAAATATTTATTATTTCTTTAATTATTTCTTTTCTTACTCGACATTATTAACAATTAAATTCACACACGAAAGACAACGATTTACAATTTAATTGTGGATGTTTGTTATGGATTAATTAATTATGGAAAATTAATCAACTTTTGTTTTTTCTATTTACATTTCTTGAAATAAAACGACAAACGATAAAATTAATAAATTAATAATTGATGTAATGAAGTAATCAATTGAGATTAATTTATTATTGTTATAATCAATCGATTAATTCTCATTATTTCACTGCCTTTTGATCATTTTTTTTATGTTTGACGATTTATTTTTGTTAGTTATCGAGGAATTTAACAAAAAATGAGGAAAATACTCAGAGCCCCTTAATAATGTGAGCATAATTATGATAATTTCTTCACTTAGATTAAGTAATTAATGTATTTACATATGTAATATTCGCTTTACGGTTTTTCTATACAATCATTTTTGTTTATCTCTTAATTATTTAATTTATCGTCTAACCTAGCTAACTAATGTCAAACGGAATATTTTACATGGAAAAATTACAATGCATCTTTATTCACCATTATCATCATCTTTTATCACTAAATCTCATTTCACTTAATTATAATTTTGAAAAAAAGAAAAAAATGATAATCAAATGCATTGAAAAATTGAACAATTTGTTCACTTCTTCGTTTTTTCTTTCTCTGAACTGAATTTTATTTACAACCTCAATGATTCATTTATTCTGTTCAATAACTGAGTAAAATTATGTTCTTTATATACAATATAATTGAATTAATCAATTAATTAATTGTTTCAGAATTAGTAACCATCGACTTAAAAATAAAAAACAAGCAAAAAAAATTGTATTTTGTATTTTTTTTATTTGCATCAATAATTTATATTCATTAGGGCTATAGACACTATGAAAATAAGGAAATAAATCAAGGGGTTTCCATTAATTATAATGAATTAATTGTTTATATGTTCTCATGGATTTAATGAAAATTAATGTGAAATTATATCTTGATGCTCTATACAGTTTGCGTGATTGTAATTAATAATTAATAATTGTTTTTCATATATTCTCATGACTTGGTTAAATTTCACTTGTACATAGTTACAGTGAAATCATATTTATAACGTGTGAGATAAAACAAATGTTATGTAATTATTTAAATGATTGACGGATACGAGTGATTTTATTTTAATTATTCAATTCATTTTATCGATAAAAACGTTTCGTCAACTCTTAGATTACAGTATGAATAATGTACATTTACACAATATAAAACTAGATTCTCTGATCGTGCAATAAACAATATAGACAATCGACACAGTTTTTTGCTTTTTTTTACTTATTATTAATTCAGTAATTATGGTTACATACAGCTATTCATTTGTTTCATATTTTTCATTTTGTTGTCGAGAAAAATTGTTATATATGCCTACGGAATTGAAGAATTTAATGTGCTAATGTGGAAGATAAATAATTTTTTTTATGTACTCAAGTGGCGAAATTCGATATTTTCTATTGGCAATTACTTGATTACGTCGGTAATGACTGATTTCAGAAGAGAATGTCAAAAGTTCTTTATTATAGATGAGAAAATTCTTCACAAAAATGGTCCTGTGACATTTCTTTAAACATTCATTCACGCAATAACTTTTTCTTTCTGATTGGATGAGTATCCAAGGAAAGGTCAAAAAGATTTTTTTATGACTAATCCGATTTCTCAGAAAAATTTTTCTTCAATCCATCATTCTCGAGTTAATTGGGTAATTAACAAATATTGGAAGTTTTACCACTTCAATACAGATATTATTTATTATTGGAAAATAAAAACGATTCATAATTACACAACTGAGCCATAAAAAATTTTGTGGTAGTCGCTAATGATTTTTTCTCATCTTTTATAAAAATTTAAACAATTTTGGGGATTTATATATACAATGGGTCTTATTCAATCTTTACAAGAAATTATTTACAAAATATATTCATCCATATATTACCTATCAAATTAACATTGTATTCATTCATTTTATTTAAATTTAGCTTTTGTTATGTCATTTCTCAGCGTTTTTGTGGGTATTAAATTACTTTTCTTCATTTTCTGTTTGTTTGTTTGTTTGTTTATGAGAGTTATTAAATTTACGTTTTCGATTTTTATGAATAAGAATAAAGTTTTTTTTATTGTTTAAACCTTCTACCACAGAACCACCGACACAAGTATCGAAAAATCCATTTAATTTTTTTATTTCAAATTTTTTTATTACCAAAAGATTGTGTGTATACACGTGAGTTTCAAGATTTTTTGAGGGAGAAAAATATTTAATTTCAAGCTCATTTGTGAATAGTCTTTGTTCTTATTAAATATCTGATTTCATTTCTCCCTCAAATCACTCACACTTGAATCAAACTCATGGAAAGTATAAAGACAAAATCTTTCAGTGGAGTCGCTCATTCCTGATCACCAGAATCTTGAGGGAAAAAAAATTGTCAAGAGGATACAATAATTTCATATTAACGGCAGTACAGTCAGATTTAATAGTGATGCATAGAACTCCATAATAAATTTCCGCACTTTCTTTTACCAGTCCACCATGTAATAATTAATGACAATTTCTTTAGAAAAATTCATCTCACGGTAAAGCACACCTGAGTTGATTAATATCTAATTTTCAAGGTCCTTCGATTGAGGCATTCATCGTCAATATTCCATTTATTTTCTCCATTAAATTACAATAATTTTTTTTTGTTTTAATTTTATTGCCACGTTTTCATGTTTTTTTTTGTTATAAACATTTGTTTTTCCTAATTCTCCCGAAAAATCGAAAAAGAAAGGTAAAGAACATTATTGAGCACTAATATAACATGTACAAACTTACTTAAAAAAATAAACATAAAAAAAAAATTGGTAGAATGAAAAAATGATTAGTCAGACAATTGCACTACTGTGAGAAACAGTATATATTTTTTATATACATAGACTATGGTAAAAGAAAGAATTTATTTCAACGAATCCACAGTAAAATGATCAAGAACACGAGATAACTTCAAATTTCATTTGTTTCTTATTTCACAATAGTATATTTCAGCACATGTGGGGCAATATCGTCTTTAACGTGTGTGGGGTTTACAGCATGAGCCGAAGGCGAGTGATGTAACCACACACGTTAAGGACGAAATTTCCCAACAAGTACTGAACAAAATTTTATGTCACGAAGCCTGAAACCGGCTGAATTAGACACGAGACGCGAAGCGTCGAGTGTGTAATCCAGCCGGTTTCAGGCATGAGTGGCATAAATATAATGGTAATGAGTGATTTTAATAGGAAATGTCGAGAGTGTTTTTCATCGAGAATTTTACGAGCATTTCTGTTTAAAATCACACATTACGAAGACATTGAGAAAATAATCTGCGAATTAATTCGAAAATCATCCTCCTCCTCATCATTTCTCTACATGAACATACGGCAGTTCATCTCTCATTGCCGTAAATCGTGGATAATAATGAAGCATTACCAATGATCGTAGTCACGAAATCATAATAATAGTATTATTAATAATAGTAATAAGAATAATTTACTCTAGTATTGATCTAAGCAACTAAAGGCAGTCAAGAGAGGACTTGAAAAGATCGAGGTGAATGTTGATAAATGTACTTTCTACAAAAAGGATAAATCAATGACTTCAAAAGTCACAGTCAAGCATTTGATGCCTCAATATTTTATACACGATGAAGAAAAATACGAGAAATTACAAAATAATTATCAACATTGACGTCTGATTCCTTTGAAACCCTCGATGACCGACTGAGAAAGGATTACTTGTGCGCTATTCTTTTGAATGTTTTTGTTATTTTTTTCCTTTCATTGATTTTCAACATTTGTTTTAAGTTTTGACACGTACATATTCACCAGGTGGGGTCCAGCCACACGGCGATCGAATAAGCGTCGAGTTTTGACAAATAATCAGACATTAAGGCCTTGACCAGAGACGGTAGCTAATCACTGTCAAGGTCGCTTCCCGAAGGTCATTTGTTTTCACGGGATATTCGCCTACGTTTCGCCTGTTCAGCTGTCTCGGCTGTCACTAAAACAACGTTCCCACTGTACGATGTATCTTTGATTAAATGAAAGCAGTATAATTTTATGTATTTCATGATATATATATATATATATATATATATATATATATATATATATATATATATATAAAATTAGCAGAGGAAAGTGGAGAAATGTAATAACATCGAGCAACTTTGTCACATCAAGTAGAATTTGAAATCCATTATATTTCCATAAGTTATAGCTTGCCTATTGCACCCTGCAACCGTGGAAACGATAATTGAAATGAAGGAAGACGGCATGTACTTTAAGAGTCACTGAATTTTCTCGACAAAATTACCTTCATTTTTTGACGCATTTGATGTTTGCATTAAAACCATATCTACAAAAATTGTAATTATGATATCCTAATTCCACAATATTTGTATTCAATTCTATTAAATTGAGGTGTACCGATCCAATCACACATTGTATAATTCAAACTTGTGAATGTTCTTCTTTACTGTCACTGATATTAAAATGGGCAGTCTCATCGAGTAGATCGAAATTTCGTGAATTAGCTGAATTTTAAATGGGATCAATTTATGTAGCGGTTATTTTTTGATTATTTTTTTTAAACAACCTTTTTGCCCTCTTTTCGGACTTTAACATTTTTTTTCGCAATAAAGATCGCATTTCGGATTCAGATCGTATTCAACCCGAAAAAATCTATCTAGAGGTGGTAATTTCGTACTTGGGACAAAAAACATCTAAACTTTGTAGAACTGTGTAATTTAAGGACGTGAAATTCAAGTAAAACACAAGCAAGTTTCCGAGTTCAAATCCCAGTCGGGTAGAATGGTGAGATCTAACCATTTAAAGTCTTGATTATCATCGCAATATACTTAATCGAGTCAAAGCGATGTAAAATAACAATAAAAAAAAAAGGTAAAACACAATTCCCCAATCCCGGCGCGAGTTTTATATATTTTGTATATTTGTTTAATTACATCATCGAATTGCACACAATTGATTGAGATTACACAATGTCTCACTTGTTGTGTAATTAGAATGTGGAAATTACAATTTCTAGAGACAAGGTCTTGAAACAAAACATCACACGTGTCAAGAAATGAAAGGGCACCATTGCGTGTAATAGGTCGTTTTGTTTAAAAAAAAATGCGATGCAAGTCGTTTTTGTGACCAAAACAAAGGACTAGGGCAAACCGTTTAATGATTGGATGAGAGTCGTCAAATACCAGTAATTGTACAAATAAAACTTGGCACATAATCACCTGAATTAATGCAACATTTCATAGGGTCTTATTGAATTTATGAACATCGCATCGGATTTTAAAGGGGATAGGATCTCCATTCCCCTGAATTAAATATTTGTTGTGATAAATGTGTAAATTAGTTCGATCAATAAATCGATTCGAACATTGATTGGGAATTCTTGTAGGACGTTCATCATAGTCGTTAGATAATGTACGAATTTCTGTAGAATTTCTCTTGATTGCGTTTTTAATTTATGTATTAACAATCAAAGTGGTCTCTTGTGCACGAGCCCTTATGGTGATTTTTTCATTTAGCACGAAACTGTATTATTAACACAGAAGTTGAAGCATTTTCGTGATAACAACGATATTGATTGTTAACAACTTCAATGATGAAATCTCGAAAAATGCTGAAGAGAATTGTACACAATCCATCTTATATTATGAACCTTTTTTCATCACGCTGTGACGAAAAGTGAACTTTTCGGCACGCTCCGCGTGCCTAAAAGTCCAATTTCCGCCACATTGTGATGAGAAATATTGTTCGTAACTATACTATATTGAATAATATACTATATACTAAATATACTATATTGAATTTGTAGCTTAAAAAACATGGTTATTGTACTACCAAACACAGGGTTTTGTTTTGTTCCAGGAAAATCTAATGCAGTCTAATGCAGTAAAAATGTAGTTGCTCATGCACGAAAAATGACAATACGTAAAATTTGACCACCCACTGTTAGAAACAAATAGATATTTCATGGACAGTTTGGTAGTAATTTTCAGAAAAGAGACATTCGATTTCGACGTCAAAAAATCAGAAAATTAAAATTTTACAAATTATTTTTCTCCTTAGAACTTCGACTGACTTCGACCAATAAAGTCGAAGTTGCATTTGAGCTTGCGTGGGGAAAGCCCAGAGGACATTATTTCGGATATTTTCTGCTGCCAGTGGAAACTGAAAAATACTTCGTGAACAATCCTTTTGGAACGGTCACTCAATAGAAATTTCCAAGAGGTTTATCAGAAATTTCAGCCAAAAATATCCAACAGCGGATACGAGAATGAACAAATACTTCTTTGTTTCGGTTCCGGATGCGACTCGTTTGGTGAATTCATTCTCGTTACTGCGGTTTTAGGGTGCAACACCTATCATAATTTATACTCAGAGACTTGTTTCGAAGATGAATGCAGTAGCGAAGCGGTAAACCGGGTTAAGTCGATCTTGACTTTTGGTCAGTTTTTGATGAATATTTCGGAATCGAAGAAAGATAGCAAAATTTCTCTTATGACCTTTTTTATAACCCTCAAATGGCTCTACAAAAAAGGTTATGGCAAAAATTTTCCTATCTTTTTTAGATTCTGAGATATTCGTCAAAAACTGGCCAACGGTCAAAACCAACTTAACCCAGTTTACCGCTTTGCTACTGAATGAAATATTGAAAATTTTAGAATTTGGCTCAATACGTTTCACCACCCACCTGCAGAAATGCAAGTAGTATTTATTTCAGCCTTGACATTCGACTTGATGGTGGGAAGGATTATTATGCATAAGGGAGTTTTCAATTTTTTCTGCAGGTAATAATCATTTTTTTCTCCGAAAATTATTCTGAATTTACACCCCGGGTGGATCATCTTTCGAACGTGATTTTGGTTGTTTTTTTAATTTTTATAATCTGAAATGATCTCCAATTGCTATTCAGTTTTACACAACCCTAGAGTCTCCAAAAATTATGATTGTACAATTATAAAAACGTTCAAAAAAATTTGAACATTTTCAAAGAGCGTTTTTGAATAATATAGGGAAATAAACCCAATAGGGAGGAAATTGCAAATTAATAATTTGATGTATTTATGTCGCGCCGTGCAATAAGTCGAGTTGCTCAAAATTCGAATTGCTCAAAACTCGACTTNATTGCACGGCGCGACATAATAGTACATTAGAGTACAAGGGGACAAATTTCGTTTTCAACGAATGTGTAGTTTACAGGCCGAGCCGAAGGCGAGGTCTGTACACACATTTGTTGAAAACGAAATTTATTACCGAGTGCTCCATAATATTTTATGTCAAGTCGTGCAGAAGTCGAGTTTTGAGTAAGTTGTGCGAAGCGCAGCATGCGATAAACTCGACTTATTGCACGGCGCGACATAAACGAAATTTGTGCCCTTGTACTCTAATGTACTATTAATGGCTATTAGATCGTCATTTGTCATAGTAGTCAATGGCTGTCAAATCGTTAGTTACGTTAGTTATGATAAATTATCCGTTCACTATTTCCTCTCTATCGGACTTATTTCTTAATCTTTATTAAAAACGCTCTTTGAAATTTATTTATTTATTTTTTCAACTTTTTTTGATTGTACAATCATAATTTTTAGGGACTCCTGCGTGATGTAAAATCCAATGGAAATTGTGATATATTTTACATTATGAAGATGGAAAAACAATAGAGATAACCGGGCCTTAAGTGACAAAAATAAAACGTTAGTGCTCCCATACTCTTAATTGAAAAATACAGGAAAGTTAAATCCAAGAATGGCATTAGTTAGGATTGAATGAAGTGAGGACTTGAATCACCTAGAAATTTTAGTACTGAGGTAGTGAAATGTGACAAGTTCAAAGCCACTTTACAAATTATTTTATAAGAATTTATCAAAAGAGATTTCGTCATCGTAGAACCAAAAGGGGGTAACATGTATACTTATACACATCACTTACGCCCCGTTTGCTATACGACGACGATTTTTTCGTAGAAAATTTTAAGTTTCCTCATTTCTTAAACAATGATCAATTTAACAATTGTTCAGAGAACGAAGTAAGAAGAGTCGTTTTTTCTAAATGGTTGATCGTCTAACCAATGGACAACTGCATAAAAAAATGTCAAGAACATGTTTTTATAGAAAATTTCAATCTACAGGGAATATTTTCTAAAATTTCTCTGTAGACTACATCAATTACTTTTTGAGATTTTTGTAAAGTAATTTGTTCATGATCTTTGGACTTGGATTCTTCACTGCTACCGGTGGATGCACTCATTATTTTTTTCCTACTGCTCGTAAAGTATTTTCTCACTCGTATTAATGCCTAATAATAATAATAATAATAATAATAATAATAATAATAATAATAATAATAATAATGTCTCTTCACTCTACTTATCCCCATTAAATTTGACATTGAAGGATTAACGGATGAGTAAATGACTGAATAATGTATGAGTTTATTCCTCCAATACATAAACTCGCTTATTATCATCAATATTAATGATTCCCATTAGTCGTTGAGAAAAAAACACCTTTCTAATTATCCCACAATGAATGCAGACAACATATCAATATTTCAGTGATGAAGGGGCAAAACTTGATGATTTCAAAGTAAGTTCTCACGATTCCCTGTAAATATTTTCGAATAGTTTAGGTTGTCACGAAATCATCATTTTTTTTTTGTATAAAATTTTATAGTCTACAAAAAAGTTTCACTGGCATTAATGCCTAAAGCCATTCGCTCCCATGATAGTAGCAAAGTAATCTGAACATAAATTGTTGCCTCAATTTTTTTTTTATTTTCAAATTATTTTCGAGATGATAATCTCAAAAAAGTATCATTTCTGTCTGAAAAAAAATGTAACGTTTTTGTCATCACTTATTTCACCACTTCTTCACGAAAATGATCATCATTAAATAAAACCAAATAAATAAATGAACAATTCTCTTGATAATTGTTACTCATAATAAATTAAATAGGAAAACATTGTTCACTCACCAGCACCACTTCGTGTTTTTCTCCTGTTGACGTCTTCTATTGATCTGGATGCACCTCTTGTATTACTCGCTGGTGTAGCGAGTGGTGACACTGCGCTCTGTCTAACAGATCTTCGTGTCGTAACTTCACCAACTGATTCGTTACTGGACACTGATGTACCCCGTAGCCTCTCTTTACCCACTATCGTTGAATTAATATTACCAGGTTGTTTAGTCGTTAATAAACGACTCTCCCTCTGTACTCTACTGCTTGTGTTGAAATTTGATACATTTGTTGAGTTTAATTGGCTCCCACTCACTGGAGTACTCAAAGTTGTTCTGAAAAATTAACAACGTGATGAATAAATTATTGGAATGAACCGAATGCATCATTGAATGAATTGGGCATTTCTAATCAGTGGAATGAATATTTGAAACAGGAGCAGGTAATTTTGTGACGTGAAATTCGTACTTAGTATCTTTGAGTTTTGGTGATGAAGCTTCCTCAGCGCCCCTGATTCTCCCCTTGGCAGCAATCTCGACAAGAGGCTCATCATCTGACGATTCAACATCCACCAAAATGGGGCCTGCGATTCCGAAAACAATTGATTAGTGAATTTCGACAGAACAAATTACCAATAGAGTGCCAAAATGTGATAATTCAACTCCTCCCATCTTACAGAATTGTCAAAATACATATAGAAAAAAGTATCATCCATTGGCATTTTCTCTGAAATCCACTCATCACTGTAAAGTAAAAATAAAAAAAAACGTAACAATTTAAATTCAACAAGTGGATTCTTGTAATCTCATTAAATAGGGTGTCCACCTGGAAGTTTCAACAAAATTCCCTGACTTTAGCCTGACTTTTCCCGGTCAAATTGATAAAATTCTCTGACCATAGAAAACGTTGTTTTTTATGAAAGATTGTTAAATTTATAGACTCTAAGGTGAAAAGCATAGTAGGACCCCGGCGTTCCGTTTTGAAGGCCAGTGGGGGGATGTTGAAATTCACCTTAGAGGGTTAAAACAGTTGATAAACGAGGATAACCTGACGTTAATAATCAATGAGCAATAGATGGATTCATGCACATTAACTCTTTTGCCGAACGAAATTGAAAGGCAGACGTCGGTAAAATAAAATTATCTTTGATTGGCGACAAGACCCATCAAAAACTTCAAAAATTTTCGTCGTCATTTCCCATTTTCACTTTCAAAATTTTCCTTCCATTATAATTTTCATCCAATTCAGATTTTTTTTGTCAATGTTCGTCAGACTTCAGTGAATAAAATTGATTGTTCGTTTTCTATTGCATAGAATGGATTGATAAAAAATTAACCTTTTAGATTCAGTCAGTCTGCGCATTGAAAAAGAGTGCATTGAAAGAAACTTTTTTTTCATGGGCTATTATCCATAATTTATGACGTAAAATGGGTGCTTAATTTAATTTTCTAGAGTCGAACGAAAATTTCTTAACACAAAAATCGACATCAGATAGAAATTGCACAATAGAGGAAGTATGGCTAAGGGAATTTTCAGACTTTTCAATTTTAGTCAGATCTCCCCTTAAGAGCTAACATTGAGATGCTAACATTTCTCTAGCGGACCAGGTTAGAACTCGCAGTGTTTTTGCAGTTTGTATATCGCTGGAAATGAGTATTGTTCAAATATTTCCACCATCTTGATATGCAAGAATTCCTTTGAAAAGTAGAATACTGAATTTAAAATTTTCCATAGAAAAACCGCAAAAACAGTGGGTTTCCAGTCTCATCCCACAGGAAGATGTTGACATACCACTTTTTAAAGTAAATTTGAGATCAAATTCAGGGATAATGTTTTTTGTCAACAGAAGATTTCCCAAAAATTTAGGTACTTGAAGAAACCAAGCTCCAAATTTTAAAATTCCAGAAAGTTGTTGCAATTCCCTGACTTTTCCAGACCAATCAAATTCCCTGACAATTCCCGGTTCTCTAGATTTCCCTGACGGCTGGACACCCTGATTAAATGATTATTTTTACCGAAACAAATTTTGATTGATCATTACATTTCATCACTTCCTTCCCCCAAACCTCAAAAACACTCACCTTTTTTCGCCTTACTGAGTATGTTGAACCCCTTCTTCTCCTCTTTGCCCCCGACCTTTCTAACATGTCCCCCCCCCTCCTCGACTCCCATGCAAGCTTTGATCAACACCTCAGCATTTTCCGAGCATTTTCTCTTGCCGGGTCTGGCCTGTGGATCTTCACTGTTAGTCCCCGAAGCCACCGAGCTCTCGCTCTCTTGCCTCTTCCTCTTCCCCACTTTTCCACCACCTGCAGCATTCGGCGACAATTTGGGCAGACTGATTTTACTTCCAACCTTGGCATACGGTGAAATGCTCCTCCTCTCACTCCTCTCCTCACTGAGCCTCCCAACAGTAGCCCCATGTGGACTGCTCTTTGGTGTCTTAACAATATCAGGACTATTCATTTTCTGCGATCTCGTCCTCAACGATCTCTTCTCACTATTATCATTAGGTATTTCAATCAACAATTGCTCCAACAACGATCTCCCAGGTCTCTTGACATAATCCTCTGAACTTATCGGATTAATCGGTGTCAATCTCTCCACGAAATCCTCCCCCTCTTCAATACAAATAACATCCTGTCTGCCCTCCAGCTCTTGTTTCCTTCTTCTCTTTCTTTTAATATTATCAGCCTCAGTATCAACACTCTCAACGCCCTGAGCTGCTGGGCTAGGCGTGTCATCCCTCTGCAACACGACAGGATTAGAGTAAGTGTAAAGTGGCGGAGTGATCCTTATCGGTTGAGGATCATCAGTCAATGGGGATGGTACACTCGTATCAATCTCACTCTTCCTACTAACATAATCATCACCCTTCACCACTAGAGGAGATTCACGTTTAACCAGACGTTTCTTATCACTGTCAACTTTCATCAAAGATAATTCTGATGCATCTGTCGATAGTTTTGATGACATCAACAGATTATCCTGCCTCGTGTCATCGGGTGTTACTTCTGTTTTAGGTTCTAATTTAGGTTTGACGTCTGGAAATTGGGGGCTGGGGTTTGTGTGTTCCGTTTCATCGTTGCAGAAATCTTTCGAAGAATCTTTCGCAGGCATTGTGGAGATTATTACGTTGTTATTTTTACGACTCTGATGACTTTGCTCAGTATTCTGAAGGGGTTGAGAGACACTTTCGATAACCTGAGGCCTCTTAACGTCTGGAGATACCTCTGAAGATAATTCTTCAACTGCCACTTTCAATGGGTCTTCCTGTTTTTTTACATTTTCACAGGTTTCTGAGGGTTTCAGATCAACTTTCGGGGGTTTATCAAGTTTACATATTGGATTATTCATTTTATTTTTATCGTTTTTGTCACTTGTCTCAGGTTGATTCACTTGATTAAGAAATTTATTATCACAAGTACCACTTTTACCAGTATTTATCGATGAATTATCATCAACACCAGTGGACGTGGTTCCAGAATCACAATCAGTCCTTGATTCTGACACTGACACTGATTCATCTTGATTATCACATTTAGTGTCTTCATCATTATGACAAATGTCGTGATAATTAGACACTGGGCTTAATTGTTTATCAGGATGAGGATGAGGATGAGAATGAGGATCATCGTCATTGTCAACACCATCGTCCTCATCGTCATCTTCATCGTCAGGTTTCAATAGTTTCGAATTCACGGTTGAACACATATCACTTGTTGAGGAAGGCACGTTCTTGTTTATTGTGGTTTGTAGGGTTGTTAATTCCACTTGAGTTAGCTGGACAGTTTTCACCGTTTGAGATTCAGTTACTGGTCGATGAAGGGGTGATTCTCCTTGATTTGGGGATTTCTCGGAGAGGGCGTCCATCGATTCAATTCCAGAATCCTCACCAGTGTTGCCGTTGTTTCCAGAATTTTGGGGAGTTACTCGCTCATTCGAGGGATCCAGCAGTGGAATAACGTTTGTGTCGAGTTTTTCAAGAGTTTTCTCTTGGAGTTTTGGGTCTGAATCAATTCTGGAGAGATCAGGGGATGATGTCTCCGGGGCTTTCTCAAGATTCTGATCCTTTTCTTTTGGTTCGGATTTAGTTTCGAGTGTTTTTGTTGGGATTACTGATGATACTGAGGTTGGTGATGAAGTTGTAGGGGTCATGGTGCTTGTCATATGATTGGGAGATGATTTTCTGGGAGTTAGGGATGGGGATTGAGACTCTGACTTCATTATCGAGTAATTTTTGAGCTTTTGGAGGGATTTGGAGTCGTCTGGATCGATTTTACTCTTCACGGGGATTAGTTTTTTTGGGAGGAGAGACGATGGCTCTAGTTGCTCCTCGTTCTGGAGCTTTTCTGGGCCTCCAGATAGATGACTCAGGGGTTTTGAGGGATTTTTGAGGGTAGAGTCCTTCTCGAAGAGTTTTGATACTCGCGGCATGTGTTGTGTTGTATTCTGACAGATTTGGGTATCTGACAGGTGGAAATCTTTCTCGTCAATCAGACTCAAACGACGTCGCTTCTCCTGACTCAAGAGATCCTTCTTCATGCCATTTAGTTCTGTTACTCGAGATATTGCACTGGGTTTGTCGGTGAGGCGGAGGTCGCTGTCGCTTGTTCGACGGATCTCACCAATTTTTTTAGTAGTATCTGGGTTAGAAGTATCACAGGGATCTTTTGGGGTCTTCTTCACAGGATCATCACTGGCTCCAGGACCCTTATAACCTAATTTTCTCCATTTCGCCTGGTTGTCGAGAATTCTACCCCCTGAAAGCAGATTTTGTTCACGGTGGAGACCTTCCCCAGAGTCGGACTTCTTTTTTGAGTCTCTTCTTTTCGTTTTTCCTGAAAGGAGAGACAGTTTATAAAAAAAATTGGAAGAGAATTGCGAGAAAACTTTTTCTAGTCTGTTGAATATTTAATTATCTCAATAGTGAATGGATTGAGAGTCATGACACAATTTTTGTACGAAATTCTCTCATCTATAAATGGGGTTCACTATCGTGTTCTCGTGAAACAAGTCGTTATTGAGATATATATGCGAATTAATAATAGGAGAACAGACACCTGACTCATCAAGTTTTACTATTAGAGTAACTTCAATTATGAGATGATCTCGAGAATGGCACTTTCAGAGGAAAAAGTTAACACGTGTTTTTTTGGAAATCTTTTCAGCAACAGAAATAAAATTGTTGTAATTGATCAATAAATTCGTGCGCTTTCGAGGAAAATGCATATCAGCAAATTAATTTAAATATGAAAGTATCTTGAGAATGAGAGAAAATGGCAAAACGGTTAGAGACTTTTTCGTCGGGAATTTCATAATTTCATAATCTTAAAAAATGGGTTATTTGGCTCATTACGTTTCATCATTCCAATACAAAAATGAAAGAAGAGAACAGTGCTGTATAGTTTTTCCGATTTTTTAATATTTTTCCTTTCTGGAAATGTCACAGATATTATGAATAGATGATTTTAAAAAGCTTTCTGAAACATGTTTAATTGATGTTTAACCAATAATTTAATCAATCTCATGCTTTCAAGGATGACAAAATAAAAAATTAATCTCTCCTCGATCGGTGATATTTAAAACTATAGAGGACATCTTTCCTATTGACTTTGAAAACATTTATGGGTGAAATGAAGACTTGAAAAACACGAAGACTACTCCTTCCTTTCATTTTTTGTATTTATTCAGATGATTTTTTAAATTCCAATGACGAAAAAAATCATCAAACACGATAAAAAAAAATGCAATGAAAAATGTTTTGCCTATGAATCCAGAATGGTTTCTACCTTGATTCTGATTGCAAGGTAAATATTCTTTATTAACATACGCGTCGGTGCAATTCGAGAATAAAAAGAAATTGAGAAACTGCAATATTATCAAAAACAATCACGACTACGATAAATAAATAAGTCAAATTTACCTCCACCAATCTTATGTTCATTCGTATGATTAGGAAGCTCAGTCTCAAGATGCACCTTTCCCCCCTGACTATTAATCCCCCCGACCCCAGTGACCCCCTTTCCCTTAACAGGTGAAGGTATCCTGCTGTTCAATGGAATATCATCAACATCCCCAGACTTGCTGGATCCAGCCTTATTTGCCACTCCTCTCTGTCCCTCGACGAGATTCTCCTGCTTGCTCTTCCCTGGCATTGAATTGTTGACCTTCCCCACAGCATTTCCACCGACATTAGTACTGGCTGCAGCAACAGCATTATTAACCACAGCGACGACTTGTCGATTGCCCCCCACCCCCGCCGCCGTTACCGTTGAAACAGTGGCGGTGGTAGTGGTAACCATGGTCGTCGTCATGATTATGCCTATGGACTTTTTCTGCAGTAATTTATTTCCATCAGTGTTATCCTTCATCTTTTTAAGCTTTCCCCGCCTCTTAACAACAGCATTACTCCCCGAGACATCCTCCTCCCTCGCCATCATCTTCTTCTCCTTCTTCCTTATCTGCACGACCGAAGCGTTCCTTCCCCTCAACGAAATATGCAGTGGTGGTACCCTCGGTTCATCCACCCCTCCAGTACCAACCCCAGAAGGTGTTCCCCCAAAAATTTTACTTATCGTCTTATCAGCCTTTCTCATCGGTGGTGTATTAACAAATGAGACATCAACCTTGTAAGCCGGCGTCACCGGCTCTGACTTCTCCAACTTTAGTCTCAACTTGATCTTCTCCCCCTGCATCGGACTATCCTTAGATTTCAATTTGTGTTTTAAACTACCCTCGCTGCCCGTTGATTTACCCGTTGTCTCTGAATCCGACTGATCAGTATTAGTTGTTGTATCATTTCGTCTGGATATATTACTATCAGCATCATCATCCGAAAATATTGAATTTGAACGATCATTGGACGGCGAGGGAAATGAAAAAAAATCATCCTGATTGTCAACAGCACTCTCTGGCTCAGACTCTGAACTTTCACTTGGCATTGGTTCCAAATGTCCAGTCAATGGATTTATCAGAAATTGTCGTATTTTACCTGACGATGTGTACTCAGGCTCTGGCCTCACTTCGTCATCATTTCTCTCTTTATTATCAGACGATGAAGATGATGAAGATGATGATTCTTCTCTAATAGCATTTATAGTTTTGTTGTTTATTGGTGAATTTGTTGAGGCATTTATTGATGAATTTGACGTTGTAACAGTTGTTGCTGTTGCCGTTAAATTATTTTTTCTCTGATTCCTTGACTCTTGATTAAAGGCACCTGTATTAATCTGATTCGTTAATGAGCCTTGTGCAGCATTAACTCTTGATTGATTTAACTGTTGATTCTGTTGTATATTTCCTGAATTTTTTGATGTACCATACATTAATGTGGTCCCAGCAGTGGTTTGATAATTTCTACTTAGTATATTTTGACTCTGTCCATAACGAAAATCATTGCTAGCACTTGTGTTGATGACGTTTGTGTTTTTTAATTGATTATGATGAAGCTGGTGTTGGATATTCAATGTTTGTCCTTGGCTTTGTGGTGGGACTGGAGTCTGTTGAGTTGTGGGAGATGCTGAAGTTGTTGTAGACGTTTGGTTGGATCTGGGATAGGGTGGAGGTGTTTGCTGCCTGGGTCCATTATTGATGAAGCCTAGCCGTTGTTGAGCAACGTTCACGTTCGAGGGAATTATTTGCTGTTGGATTTGAGGCTGAGATAATTGTCCTTGAACGATCATCTGTTGTCCTTGGACAATTCCTTGTTGTTGAAGAATCATTTGACGTTGTTGAAGAGGTGTCCTGATTCCCTGACCATTCACTGGATGCCTCGTGCTGATTAACTGATTCCCTCTGTAGGTCAACTCCTGTCTAACTGGGAAATTCTGCTGTATTTGTACTTGCGAATGTGTCTGATTAGTTTGAGGACAACTGTTGGAGCCGCTCTGGGGTACAGAAGCAAAGGCAGAAGGTACTGATGGAGTTGAGGGCACTGCCCCAATTAGATCCTCAGATCGTATGGAATCCAAACTCGTTGCTACCTCTGATTCACCAGCAATAACAGTTGTTGACTCTTTCCTTCGTGCATTTGGCTTTTTCGCTGGTTTCGTTCGACTTGTGCCGCCGCCAGCCCCAGTATCAACAGCAGGCACCTTCTGACCCTGACTACCGCCAGGATGTGCACTTCCATCGTTCTGAAGTAGATTAACCAGTAGTGGTGATGATAATGCCACTTGATTACCACTAACTGCTGTTGCCAGGCCAAGAGCTTTACTTATCGGTGGATTAAACTGATTTGGCACTAGGGCTTGGGCTTCTTGAGGCTGATGAGTTGGATAAGGCGGTGGTGGCTGGTTATGTTTAAAGGCTGGTGGCTGAGAGTTTGATTGGGAATCTCGATGGATACCTTGGGCAGCTTGGGCAGCGTGAGTCATACTGGCAAAGGGGAATGGTCCATTGTAGTTGTTACGAGGTGATGCATTGGGATTTGCTGAGTTTGAGGTGGTTGAATTAGCTTGGTTGATTGCTTGAGTGAGTCCAGCTGTGCTTGATGCTGCCTGGATGGTTTTTGAGAGGAACGCCGGGATGGGATCACAGTCTGTTGGTGCAACGACGTTTGGAGAACGAAATTGGGGAGATTTGCAGGAAGTACTTGGTCCTGGTAAGGATCTCTCTGCTTCACTTGATGGAGAACTTGTGTTTCCATCTGTGCGGGGTTTTGTCGATAAATTGTCATCGTTGGGAGTTGAATGGAGAACAATCTCTTGTGATTCACCACCAAAACGTCCGGCTATTCGTAGGGATATCACTTGGTCACCTTCCACCTGGACTGAAAGAATTCCTAGTTGGGTTAGGGTGGGAGAACCCTCTGTTGCGAGCTCTCGCAGGCGCAGGGCTGCCTCTCGAGGGATGGAGAAGGTCACGCGAACTGAATTCCAGGGCTCCACTTTGTTCACGCGGAGACCATCCCCTTTTTCAGGGGAGATTAGGTGCTTTAGGCGATCTACTATTTGTGCGAATTTCTGGGGAAACTCTGGATCACCCAGGTCACCCTCGCACGTTACCACCGTCTCGATCAGATCACCATCACTGTCTGCTGCCATGACTGGGGAAAATAAAATGAGGTATTAAATTGAGATGATTTGATGAATTTTTGTCTATCAATTTAAAGGTTGGAGAAGAAGATGTACAATGGAATAAACTCTCTTGAATATGCGGCATTAGTCGATGAGATATTAATGATTGTGTGTGATTTACTTAGAAGGACATGTAAAATGGATGATTTAGGGCTAATGGAAATAATTTCATTCAATGCGCATTGTTCTGAAGAGTATTCCAAGAATATAATGATTAATCACTAGAGTGATATAAAATGATTTTTTAAAATCAATTTTCATCTTCAATTTCCCAAGCCACTGGGTATAATAAAATCAAAATTTTCAGAAACACTACTCAAAGGTCGAAATCAAGGGAGTGAGCTAAAATAAATAACATTTTGAAAACTTTGAAATGACACAAGATTAATTAAAATTTGAAAAATAATCGCAGACATATTGATGTGTAATTACAACGACAGAGTAGAATGATTTCTGGAGCTACAGGCGATTGTATTGGATTTATGCCACCCTAAAGACCACTCTTATTGTGGCTTTTTGAGAAAAGCCATAAATTAATCAAATTCGCTTCATTGACTCCGTAAATATCCATTATTTAATAACAGAATAACGGGATTAAATGAATTATTCCATAAACTTCAATATTTCTGATACTACTGGAGACCATATCATGATATCAACAACAATAATATCCATCTTTCCATTTATTTACAATCATTTCACTTTTTTACGTACCAATCATCAATCACATAACTACCAGGGGAGCCTGGGGACCTCTCGGGGGTGCAACACTCTTCCTCAAAACCCGACAAAGTCTCTGTCTATGGTCCCAAACTCCAGGCACTATTTTTAATACCTTCTTTCACTGTTGAAAAACGAAATAATCATTACATTTACACTCTCAATAACTATATCATCAATCATTCAATCCTCTAACAATGCTAATTACACCGAAATCCCACCACAAAACCCCTCTACATGTAATAAATATAAATATAAATATAAATACGGAACCATCGATATTAGGTTATAATTCGTTGGCAATTACCCCTTTAATGACCCGTATAACCCACCTAAACCCTCAAAAGGTTGGACAAATTACTCATCCAGACTGCATAATTGCATTCAACAACAAACACTGAGTTTCAACAACAATCCAATTAATTCAATTCCCCCAAAAACATGAAAATAAATTATTTTCAATGTTAAGAAACTAAGGCGGCTTGGTTTCTAGCGATACCAGGGGGAGAAATAGGTTATAGGGTAAATATCCAACATACAAATTTCCCCGATTTCTGCAATGTGCCTCAATCGCATCGACAACTCCCTAATAATACATTTGTTGATAATCTGATAATATCCATCAGGTGGTTCATTTGGCCATTAATAACATGTAAAAACATTTTAGAATGGGGGGCCGTCCATTTTGTCCGTCGGGGGAGGCGAACGTGAAGTGGGCTCAAGCATGCTCATGATAGCCCCGTCAACCTCACGGAACATTCAATGTACCCGTTACCAAAGTCATTTTTCAACAACAAAAAAATACAGATGTTCACTAGCCCTGTATTTTTCAGGATTAAGGGCACATTAATGATTAATCATAGCTCATTATTCATTAATAATCAAGGGTTGATGATAAAGTATCGTGGAATTTTAACGGGAAAGAATTTCCAACGTTACCCCATTTCGTTAGTTTTTTTTCTCTTTCCTCTTCTTTCCTTCACCAACTTCGGGGATCCGAGGGGTATTGGTTCTGTTAAACGTATCTTGTGGATAAACACGAGAACACACAACGTTAACCACTTGATTTATAAATGATAATAACACTTTAAAACAATTTACAGACACAGTGGCAACAGTTTGCCGTGATAATCACAAAAATACTTGTCATAATCGGCGATATAAAGGGACAAGTCATAAAACGCCATGAACAATAACAAGGTGCCGCCATTTGCAATGCGTACAACTGACATGCGCAAATCAATCGCGCGGGGCACCATGGGGGCTGGGATTGTTATACCATACACCATTCAGCGGAAAAATTCAGTGCCGCCATCTAGCGAGGAATTGGGTTTTTTTTATTTGTTCACATTTGTTATTTGGAGAGGCGAGACAAATTCGAAAGTTGTAGGATGATTTTTTGGGAAAAAAATTGGGAAAGGATGGGTTCAAGGAGCAGAATTTTTTTACAAAAATGATCTGGTGTTTTTGAGTTCATTCATTATCGAGACAATCGGAAACACTGTTACAAATTTTTTGAAATTTCATGGAAGATAATATAGTAATTCTCATGAGAATGTCATTGAATCGGATTTAGGGAAAAAAAAATGGTTATGAAATTTCAAGTTTTAAGTACGGGAGAGTGGGGCAAAATAACTGTTTGACACAATTCAAGCAAAAAAATTTTTTTCTGTTAAATATTTTTTTTTTATTATTGGGAGTACTGATGAGAATAATAATTTTCTAGTCGTCTTATCATTTAATTGATTAGATTAGACCGATTACACTTTTGTTTCTTCATTTGATTGAAATTCAGCATCACATTTTCCTTTTCCTCCCTCTGAGTCTCCCCCAAGGCCTTCCTCTGGACTTTGGATTTTGCTATTTCATTTTGTTTTCAATGAAACCATTGACAAAATTTTTTCCCGTCAAAACTGCTCAATAATTGTTCATTCTACTGAACGGAAAATTATTATTCTCATTAGTACTCTCAAGAATAAAAAAAAATAAACAAAAGTTAATAAAAAAAATATTTAACAAAAAAAATTTTTTTTGCTTGAATTGCGACAAACAGTTCCTTTTTGGGCTGTTTAATTTTGCCCCACTCTCCTCTACAATTCACAGAAATTCATGAGTTTTTAGTGGGAGTGAGATGGAAATTTCACAACTTGAGTGAATTTTCAGTGGCACATGAATACTCAGAACAAAATGACATGAATTTTCAATTTTTCCCTGAACGTTCATGACTTTTATAAATTTTCACAGAATAATTTAACTGATAAATCAAATATTTTATTGATTTCCAGATCATTTGAACAGAAAATCAATGGAATATTTGGTTTTTCAATGACAAGATTTCCTGAAATTTCTGTGGAACTTGAACACCATAAAAATTACCGGAATTTGGCACGGAAAATTCAGACGAAAATTTTTAACAGATTGTAGTTGAGAAGCGTCGAAATACAAATTTACGGGTAGATTAATTTTGGAGCTCACTCGAGGAGTAATCCATTTCAAGAAAAAAAAATAGGGAAGAGTTGGGCAATATGGACATCTGGGATAAAATGGACACTCAAAAAATTTGTGAAAAAAACTTTTTTTTTTCAAAATTCAAATTTTTGAAAATTGTTTCATTGGGTAATATGGACACTTGAAAAAGTTGGTCTTATTCAATGTTTAATCAAGAAAATTGTCAAAAGACCTTTTCCAACAGAATCGTGTCGGTATCTTTTTATAGACAGAAATTAGAATTGGAAGAGATCTTAACAAATAAACTTCAACTCTATTAAAGTTTGCATTGAAGTTTGAAATATAGAGTAACTTTGAATTTCCAGTTTTACTACTGAAATAATTTTGTAATTATTAATTTTTTTCAATGAACAGTTGCACGTCCTATACAACTGAGGTTTTGTCCATTTGCGAAATTTGTAAGACTGCTACTTTTCTACTTACAAAGGAAATCACCATTAAACAATAGGAGAAGGGGAGGATCAATGAGCAAAGAAAAATTTAGTTTACCCCCCCCCCCCCCCCCCCCC